GAGATCCAGGAGCTGGAGAACAGGCTGAAACAGCTCAAGGATCAGCTTCTCCTTAGACTGGTGGTGTCCATCAGGTAAGGCTGATTCGCATCAAATGTCGACGTGGTGGTTGGGGTTGCTTACCTCTGGATCAGATCAAACGCTGCCAAGACCTTGGATGACCAAAAGAATATTATTCAAGGTCTGACCGATGCATTGCGGGAAAAAGAAAGGCTCCAGATGAGACTCAATGGCTTGTTGGGACGAGATGATCGCGGCCTCGGGACGGAGATCCTGAGGTACCTATCCCTCGCAACTGGCAACCACTTGGATTCTAGGGACAACCCCCACATTAACTATGAGGTCTTCCGAGCCTGGAAAGCCATGGGCGACAGTTTGCCAAATCGTCAACTGCCGATACTCACGTCCCAAACGAAGAACAACAAAGAAAAAGTATTACTGAACGTGCTTGCTTACGACGGAATGCACGATCGAGAATCGGGCGTTGTCGAGGCACATGAAAGGACGTTCCATTGGGTGTTTGATGAAGCGAACACGGAGCAGCACACATGGGATAACCTCCCAGGTTGGTTGGCTTCGGATGATCAGCTATACTGGATTACAGGCAAGCCTGGATCCGGAAAGTCTACGCTGATGAAATTCATCTCTCAACCTGGGAATGAGGACGTTGAGCCCCGTTGCGTGAAACATTTGCGCCCCTGGGCCAAAGATCAACCCTTACTCGTGGCATCTTTCTACTTTTGGGCCTCCGGCGACACGAAACAGACGACCGTCGAGGCACTATATCGCACCCTCACTCACCAGATCCTATCCGCCTATCCGGAAGCAATGCCCATTGCCTCCCCAGATCGATGGGAATCGCTAGCGCTTTTCAACATGGTGGAGGTTTTCACAGGCGACACCGAACTCCGGGATGTCCTTTTCAGGGCGATCCACCACGTTGTCCGGGAACTGGGGATCAGACTGTGTCTATTCATCGACGGATTAGACGAATTCCAGGGCGATCACAAAACATTGTTAGACTCCCTTACTCACATTATTGAGGCATACCCAGTCAAATTATGTGTGTCGAGCCGTCCCTGGCCGGTGTTCGAGGACGCCTTCCATAGCCGGCCGAGCCTCCGCATGGAAGATCTTACCTTTGACGACATCCAGAACTTTGTCACGAGCAGGTTTCTCGAGAACAAGCACTTCGCCGTGTTGGAAAAGCTCGAGCCGGAGTTTGCTGGCCAGCTCATCGACGAGATTGTTCGCAAGTCCTCGGGCGTCTTTCTCTGGGTCCGTCTCGTGATCGAATCACTATTGGAAGGGCTGTTGCAAGCAGACCGGATCTCGGATCTTAAGCACCGACTGGATCAGCTGCCGCCCGACCTGGAGGATCTGTTCGACCGAATACTGGACAGTTTGGACCCGGTCTATCTACAACACGCAGCACAATATTTCAGCTTGGTTGACTGCGGAGCACCATCTGCACTCTTGCTTTATTTTGCGGACGAAGATCCGACTTCTTCCCCATTGCAGCTCCCATGCAAAGACTTCACCGACCAGGACATAAATATTCGTACTGATAGGATCAAGAGACGGATAAACAGCCGCTGCAAGGGCTTCCTGGAAGTCGTCCCGTCCGATTCAACACATCGAGGCGAGCACGCCACCGTCCAGTATCTCCACCGTACCGTCTTCGACTATCTCAAAAGCCCCAAAGTCCAAGCAATGCTGTCGGCGGCCACGTCAAAAGACCCGTTCGACCCTTATCTCAGCTTATGCTCTGGCAGTCTGTCAATGTGCAAAACGCTATCATGGGAAAGAAGATTTCATCACGTATTGTTATGCCTCCAGTTTGCGGCCCAAACCGCGTTGAAGAACAGGTCACAGATGGTTGCCATCGTCGACAATCTTCGTGCGACACTCATCGACATAAAATTCACCATCTCGTTCGATGTCGACCTTGCCGAGGTCTACAGTCGATCTGGCCTACCACCTACCTTACCCAGAAATTCCTTGCGTTGGCCTGATGTAGTTCCCGCCAACTACCCGAAAACCTTTCTACACCTCGTACTGGCGTGCGGCGTCGCGAAATACATCCAGCACAAGACTATTCTCGAGGACGCCTCATTCTACCGGGAGCTCGAGTACTTCTCTCCACCAACCGAGAGACTCCACAAGCAAATTCTAGGCAAGGTCAGGGGTTTGCCTGACAGCTTTATGGGCCAGAAGAAGAGCAATCAATCCACGGCCCTTGCCCAATCGCTGATGATCTCGGCTTTACGGCTCAACCACTCGAATCTCGCATGTAAGCCAGCAATAATCGAGGCTCTCTTGGCTAAGGGGGCAGATTTAAATCACGTCTTTGCCCCCAATCCTGGTCGTCCCGAGGAAAAGACTACGGTTTGGATTTTCACTCTGGCGGCTACCTTGATGGTGCTCCATGGAGAAAAAAACCAGGAACCGAACACGGAACTGTACCGAACCTACTGGGGAAAGATCGTGGCCGTAATGATTTCTCACGGAGCGCGTTGCGATCGGGGGGCAGTAGACAAAGCCCTAGATATTTTCCTGAGGCGGCGTGCAAAGCTGGACTACAAGGGCGCCGACAGACGGACTCTCGTCGACGCCGCCGTCAAGGCTTTGCGTAGAACGAAAGAGACAGGGGAACCATTCACCATCGAGGAATACTATGAGTTCTATTCGACCGAGCCCGCTGGTTAGGCAATCGGCGACGAGATATACGCCTTAAACGGTCACGACAAGGCTTACGTGGGAATAGGGGCTCTACTTTCTTGAAGGACTGTTCGTGGCAATTTCATTTCTCAATGCGCAGTATACCTAGACATAGCTTCATATCTTCCCCTCCTTCTCCCGTTATCATACTTGTTGCACTCTACCCGAAGACCCACACCACGACTCCCTGCCTGGCAATGAAAGTATCCCCCTTTCTTAATCAGACAAACCGGGGCTCATGCGCCTACACTAGTCACTCCGGCTTAAACTTGGTTCGGGGTTTCACTTTAATCTACGTGGACCCAGAAAATCACCTCTATCCCTTGAACACAACAGGTAGTGAGACTTCTTGGCACCGGTGTTAGGTTGTCTATGGACGTAGTGACAAAATCCGATAAATGGATTTAATGAGCTACTACAGGTGGCGTGTTTTGCAGCCCATCTGGTAGAACTAACTAACTAGGTAGGCAGGGACGTAGCGTTTGGCCCGGCTCCCTGGCTAGTCTGAGAACACCAACCGAACCCCCAGTTTGCCTTCCTGAAGCCAAGACAGACTATAGTCTCCTGTTCCTTCTCTCGGTTTGATCTCAACTCCCTGCAACTTTCCTGGCTGGTCGGGACATTTCGATCGCATTGGCCGGTTCAGAATCTCGCCCGACGGATCTTGCCAGGTTGCGTTGCCCCCGCTGGTCGAGAGCTTCCACACACCGATTGGTGTCCAAGCCCCAACAGCTGGGATATTTTTGGGGTCGTTGCATATCAGTGTGCTGTCCGTCGTCCCGACGATCGCATCGGCGCCCGCCTTCAGAACAGCGGGAGCAGTAAACTCAAGCCAGCAGTACTTGAACTTTCTGGCGGGATACTGGAATGTGAGGAGGGTGCTGACGACTACCTCGCGGGAATTCTGGATCGAGAATTTAGCCTGCTTGCCGGTGCAGGCTAGCTCCGGGCTGAGGTTGCGGGAACGGGTTCCGACTGCGATGGGTTGGGACTCCCCCGCTGCAATGGGGCCAGTGAGGGGCACCTGGTTGTCGAGACCAAGGGAGACTGTGTAAGCCGCGAAGAGGAGAGTGATGAAGTGGATGAACCGGGCCATGATGAGGATTGCGTGATGACGGCGGCGAAGAAAGCCTTGGCTGTTGTGTGCTTGTGAGAATGAACTGCTGTCAAGTTTGATAGAGAAGAGACTGTGAGAAACTAAAACACGAGCAATGTGGGGCGCGGATGAACGGCATTTGAAGGCGGGGGAACCGGCCACTCGAAAGCTGGGAAGCCATTGTAAGCCACAGGATGATAAGATCGGATGACACTTTTGGACTTCAGCTGGCAAGAAGGTTACACAACACGAGCGTCTGCATATCGGGCGCCTTCTCCCCTGCTGTCACGAAAGAGGGCACGAATAACGTGCGGCTGATTGAGCGCCTCTTATGCGTGATCAGCTCCAACTGCAGGCTGCGCATTTTTTGGCCCGACTTTGTGGACGCAGAGTTCGGTCGAAGGCGGCAGCTCGGTCCCTGGTTTCGATCGCCGGGTTCGTTCTTGCGGCCACTTATCTTTCTCCATCCCGCGCCGGTATGAAGAGAGATACCTGTAACGGGAAGAAAGCCGTCGTCGCTAGCAGGAGGAGAGGACATGACAGCAGACACAGGAAGAGGAACGCTACCCGTAGCCCGAGGAAATAAGGTAGTGGCTGGAGAGATATCCTCAGAACTAAGAAGAAACTTGAGGTCGAAAAGAGCTAGTAAAGCATACGAGACAGTAGAGCGACCGTTCCAGGAGAAATAAGCGGCATCAGTACGCCGTGATTGGTGTAATCCTATTTCGGTAGAACTTAAAGTTGACACCGTGTAGACCTTTCTGCGGGCTTTCTACGACGAAAACAGCGTGGAGGTAGCAACATACTCCGTATGCTACATTCAGAAGAAGCCACGAGACTTTGGTTATGTCTTCTATCGAAACCAACCAATTTCTAGTTATCCAAACCGCGGTGATGGGATCGACCTGATCCCACCGCTTCTGGCTCCCGTCTTCCTCGTCCCCACCAAGCGCCGCGATGAACAACGCGTTGGTCACATCCACCTCCGGCCGCCGCCCCAGCAGCTTCTCCATGACCACTCTTTCCCGTATTGCAATATCCACAGCCCTTCACACAGATAGCATTGAGACACCAGGGAGGCAAAAATGCGACAGGGAGGCACAGTTCTGCATGGTACTGGCCTTCGGGACCCGAAAATGATAGTCCGCCTTCAGGCGGGGAAGGCGGGGAAGCAAAAATATAACTCGGATACGGGGAGTCGAACCCCGGGCTGCTGAGACAGATCAAGGCTACGCCATGAGAGTCAGCGATGTTACCGCTACACCATACCCGATTGAATCGTGTATGATCCCGAATGTTGGTTGGTAGCGCACTGTTGGCTTTTCTATAGTATGAAACACTGAGTGAGGACTAGGGACAGGCCTTTGGTTGCTCTGGCCTTCATTCTCAGTCATGTTTTCCACACTTCCAAGATTTTGCACTGAAAATTCCTACACGTTCCCGAGAATGAGTGGACTGCAGCGTCTCTACCTACTTCTCAATCACCAATGGCAAGGGACCAATGATTTCGCAGCTGAATGCACGCTCCAGTCGCAATGGGATTGGCTAGAGGAATCACCATCGGACAACCGTTCTCAGCTTCCCCAACACACACCGACGTGTGCGCACCATGGATCCCCTCACCGCCATCGGTCTCGCATCCAGCATCCTCACCTTCATCGACTTTAGCGCCAAGGTCATCACCGGCGCTGTCGACATCTATGGCTCCCCTTCGGGACTGGCCGTCGAGGGCCGCAGCACCGAGACGGTGGTGGCCGAGATGCGCCAATTCGCCGCCAAATTGCAACCACCCGACGCGTCGTCGCTCTCGGGCGACGAGAAGTCGCTGTGCAGGCTGGCGCTCGAGTGCGACTCTATCTGCGACGGCATCATCGAGCTGCTCGAGAAGACCAAGCCCAAGCAGCCCAAGTCCAAGACCTCGGCCCTGAAAGCCGGTCTGAAGACAAAATGGCACGAGGGCGACCGTCGCAAACTTGAGGAGAGGCTGGCGCACTGTCGCGCCCAGTTATCGCTGCAGCTCAACTACCTCACTGGCGTCGACATCAAAGAACAGCTCGACGCGTTGGTGACATCAGCAAAGGATGATGGCTCGAAGTTGGAGAAGTTGTCTCACCAGATCAGCCATCTCAGTCGTGACGTGACTGTCTCGTCGCTCAGCCCGACAGCGCAGCAGCAGATTTCCGCGCTTCTCGGCGTATCGCGCCATGCGGCCGACCTCATCATTCAGCACAGGATCCTGACGGATCTTGGATTTGAAGGCATGTATGGAAGGTATGACGCGGTCGACGACGCGCATTACAAAACCTTTCGATGGATATACAAGGGAGCTCGGCCACTCCGACGATCCTCGAATGACGCTTATCAATCCGACAATTCCTCGAGCGATGGGTATGATTCAGACCAACATGGTTCCGATGACTTCGGTCTTGATCGGGGCTTGTTGGGCCAGGATTCCGCGAAAATAGATGCCCGCGATCGTCTCCTCGGCTGGCTCGCAAATGGGGATGGCATATTCCACATTTCCGGCAAGCTCGGGTCTGGGAAGTCGACCCTGATGAAATTTCTCTGCGAACACGATATGACTAGCTCGTTCTTGCAGGTGTGGGCCGGTATGTGACCATTCTCATCATTATGTTAAAGCATTCGTTAACACCATCGCAGGCGACCGGACTCTGGTCTTGGTAAACTTCTTTTTCTGGAAGCCAGGCTCCTTCCTCCAGAGATCACTCATCGGTCTTACCCGGTCGCTGCTCCACGACGTTCTCCAAGCAGCGCCGCATCTGATCCCTCGTGTGTTCCCAACTCTCTGGCAGCGGCTGAAAGCCACCCCCGTGGAAGCCATGGCAAAGATCCAGTTCACGGAGAGGGAGATCCGTCAAGCCTTTGCGCGCTTGATTTCAGATCCTTCACTGTACCACGACACGTGCTACTGCTTCTTCATCGACGGCCTCGATGAGTTCGAAGGCAGCCTTCAGGATGATCCTAGGGTTTTGGTCGATCAGCTCAACTCTTGGGTTGCTGTTGCGCCGGGGAACGTCAAGCTCTGCGTCTCAAGCAGAGAGTATAATGTCTTCATGAACGCCTTCTCCCCTAGCCAGCGCATCTCTCTCCATCACCTTACAAAGTCGGACATGCAGCGCTATGCGTCTGACAAGCTCGGGCACATGGAATCTGGGCAGGCCAAGGAAAGAATTATCGACACTATCGTAAAAAATGCCCACGGCATCTTCCTCTGGGTAGTGCTCGTCACAAGGAACCTACGCGAACAAATCGAGAACGGATTCAGCACCGACGCCCTGCTACGAGAAATCGAGACCCTCCCACAGGAGATCGAAGAGCTATTTGCCCACATTCTCGAATCTCTTTCGAAATCAAACTTGAGAAGGGCATATCAAATATTCTCCATGCTAGAAAAATTCAAAGACGTATTTGAAACACGAAGAACGGTCCTTACAGTCCTCTTATTATCATTTATGGAAGACTACGACCGGGATCCGCTATTCGCTTTGCGGGACGACTTTTTCCGCATTGAGCCGAGCTCAGAAGAGATCCAAGAGAGAGTCACCTTGACCATCAAGAGGATCCATGGCTACTGTCGGGGTCTGGTCGAGATTGTCGGGGACGGGGACAAGACGTCGAAGGTTACGTTTGCACATCGCTCAATCCCTGATTTCCTCTCAACTGGCCCTCAAGCTGGCCGGATGGAGATGGTACTAGCTGGGTTTAGCGCTGTGGATGCGGTATCTCAACTCAGACTGGCAGAGCTGCTGGCGGATCCCGAATCCATACATATTCATTATTATGAGGGCGGAGATTTAAACGCAGACCATCTCTATCACATCCTGTTCCTTCGACAATGCGAACGGCTCGATGTTGCGCCCTATTCATATCTCGAGGCGCTCTCACGTGCCGTTTTACGTTCGAGATCGAAAGCGACGCTGCTTTCAAAGTATAGGAGGAAGTCAAGCCGACGCTCCCCAGCCCCGCGCTTCGTGGGAAGTATTGACGTTGAAATCTGCGGCGTGAAGATCATGGGGTTCCCGGACACAAATCAAGCACAAGCACGGGTCGACCGCATTGCAGCTGGCACGATCCCGCATCTGATATATGAAGCGGCATTCTGGGGAAGCTTGGCATGGGTGAGGTGGAGACTCGAGAGGTTCCCGGACGAGCACAGTGATATAACCTCTCTGCGAATCCTACTCGGTTGTATTATACAAGGCTACCGAAAGTCCACCACACTAGAAGAGGCTATGGCTACGGTTGAAGCCATCATCAAACAAGGACTGGCTCCACAGACGGTGACGGATGCCGTTCTGCTTGAAGTTCGGGAATTCCACTACGAGGACGCCTCGCATAGCCCGAGAGACAGTCTACACTCTACTGTCTCTAGTATGTCGAGCCTATCAGATTCGGCAGGCAAATGGCGTCGTGGGCAAGATCCCGAACGACGAGAGTTACAAGCCCCGAGATCCAGATCACCCTCTTTGCCCGGCACGTCTCCGTCGCCAGGCTCGCCTCTGTCGCCCGGTAACCCCTTATCAGATGAGGGGCTCGCCCATGTTGTCCCCACACAGATTCACCTTGATTCCCCCGGCGGAAAGCTACCCCCAATAGGTTTTGAGTACCCTAGCGGCAACCGGCCAGCATATGAGGGAATCACCATGACAGTATGGCAAGAGTCTTTACTGAACTGCTACAGGTTTACCATCTTTAACCTCAGCGTTCTGTTGCCCCGTTTGGGATACGTCCTGGAGAGGTTCCTTGAACACGGAGCAGATCCTTACTTTCAGTTCACCGCGTCGGCCACAGAGCCAGCTGTCGCCGTAGTGGCTAGACAAGGGGGGCGTATTCGGGGGGCGTTTGAGGAGGAAGGCTCCACCACTGACGCCGAGAGTAGACACGACTCCGGCTGGGCCGGGGAGCCTTTGGTCAGGTCCTTCGTCTTTCTTCTCGTGCTGGGAAAAGAGAGGAAAGAGCTAAAACTGCAATTCGCCACAAGTCACATTTGGCGGCCATACGAGCTCGAAGCAAAGTCTCTTGTCGAGTACCTGAGCACGTATCGAGAGCATTTCCGGAACTGGGACAGGATTGTCGAGCTGATTGAGAGGAACCGGCGGATGTTTGATGAGGCGTCCGATGCCCGACCAGGAGCAGTTGTGGGAGGGTTGAACGAGCTTTCAGAGGCTGCACCGAAAGCGCCTATTGTCTCCGGCGAGACGGCTCAATCAGGAAACGAGGCTAAACCTTTGGTTGCTAGCGCCACAAAGTCGATGCACCTCCTCTGGATATTCGTACTAGGTCAGTCGTCCGGCGGACTTGTGGATCGTACTTACAGAACTTTAGGGATCCTTCTCGCTGCTGGTACTCAGCTCATGCGGCAGGGACCTGGACTTCAAATCTCTGGGTCGTAGCCAAAACATAGAGGGATTGGTCCAATTACTTCCAAGACTACTGCCAAGGTCGCCAAATGTGGCAGTGCGGTGCTACCACACAACTTATAAATGTTTTGCACATCGTTAGATAGGCTGAGACAGCTGATCACGGCGACTCGGTGCTCGGTGCAGATTCCTCTGGCTACTTGCACGGCGGCGGGGCCTCGAGCTGTTGACGACGCCAGTCCCCCATCCACCCACCCAGCCCCTATCCGCCTACCATGGATTCTTATTACTCGTCGAACCAGTGCTCATCCCCAACACCCCACCCTAAACACCGTCACCAGGATATCCCAGCGTCCAGCACGAACCAGAGAAACCCGACAAATAACCCAAAAAGGGAAATAACAGCGACGCCAATCCAGCCGACGACGGGGACATACGCCACCGTAGCCAGCGCCAGCAGAAGAAACGCAGCAACGGGGATCCCGTTGAGCAGAAAGGTGAGTGCCGTGTACATCCTGCCAAAGGCAACACGCCCCTCGGCCGAGTCCGGCGGCGGGCTGTTGGCGAAGAGGATCTTGGCCACGACGGCGAGGCCTAGCGTCGTGGTGAAGAATAGCCAGCTGAGGGCGATGAGGAGGCGGACACGCTCTTTGTCGAAGAGTACTGTTCTCGGGGCGTCGTCGGGCGCGTTGTTGCCGAGGATCGAGGGGTCGGCGATGTCGCTGACTATGACGGTGAAGGTGATTTGGCCGCCGAGGGCGGCGATGCCGATTATGGCGTTTAGGTATTCGCTGAACCAGGCCAGGAAGGAGGTCGCGGTCTGGCTGGGGTGGGTTGGGTTTGGCTGTTGGTTTGGGGTTGAGGTGGGCTTGCTGCTTGTTATCTTGTTGGT